GGCCGGGAACGCCGCGATGGACTCTCGGCGTCCCCGGCCGAACAAGTTGGGGGTGACTGGTGCTCGCGAGATCGTGACAACGGAGTGGCGCCTGCCTCCAGGTGCGGGCGTCGGGGCGGACGACAGTGTCGCGAGGAAGGCGGCCTCCCTCACTGACGCTGCAGTTCTGCCCTCGGCGCCGTGTTCCGACAGGCGCCGCACCTGACTGGCCGTGATACCCGAGGCGCAGGACGGGGTAGGCAGAGAATGCTTCCTCATGTCGCGGTAGGGGGAGAGCAGCCCCGGGTGCGCCAGAGGTGGCGATGATTCTCTGCTCGACGCCTCCTCGTCATCCGTACCGCCGGACTCTTCCACAACGATGAGAGGTTCGGCAGGAGCCTGGGAAGGCAAGGGCGTGTACGATGCGCGTCTCATGCCGACCTGTGGACACAGAGCAGCGTGTAGTATTTACGATGCAAAGAAGAGAATTTGTAAATATCAAAGATCGAAGCCTAGCACCTTCTGAATACAAGTCAGAAATACTTCCATTGAACTAAACATGTTTCCTTTTCAACGGAAATAGAGACTGTACAGTGGGGCATGAGAGTCAGACCGCGTCTATTTAAAAGAATCTCTATTTAAATTCTATTTTACTGTCTACTTTGTCTTTACGTCGTAAACACCTTTGTTTCCTTTTTTAACAAACGAGGGTCTAGGCATCGATTTATGACAGTATAACCGTTACATTTATTTCCAGTTGATCGAGTGATGGTGGAGGAAGCATGACAATAAATTAGCCTAGTTCCAAGAATTGATTATATGTTTGGACTTGAATCCTGTAAACCTGCACGTTTTAGCCACTGCTCTTGTCTGCATTAAGAAAACAAATCCATAATCCTCAATCTGAAATCGTCAGTAACGCAATGACATAAAAGTATCCTGTTACATTTATAGTGTCACTTGTGGCTGTCTTCCGCTTATCTGGCCTCATATGTTTCCCGTTTCATTTATGTAGCTCTTATGGGAGCCCACGTAGCATTTTGGAGCTGTGAAGATACTAGACATTTTTAAATTCAACGTTCAAAATTTATAACTATCGCATGGAATTATAAAATTTCGTTACACAAGGAAAATTTCGAATGGAAGGAACGATAATTTATATCAATATAATATATTTTTGAATTTACGTTAACAAATATAGTTATTACTTCGTTTTTTTTTTTTTAAATATTCCATGAAATTAAATCTTGCTACTGGCGGCGAATTTCGTAACATGACGTTACAAGAATATTGCGTTTCCCTGTGCAGGAACTGAAGTGGCGTTACGGCTTCCGGGATCAATACATGCTTATTGTTTCTTCCCTCTTTATATACACGTTTTACCATGTCTTCGGAAATAAAACGTTCGTCAATAAGAGTTGTATGGTTTAAATTGTCGCATAAATTAAACTCATACAAACCAATTTTAAAACACCGGTGATAAGAGAATAAAAGTCACAGGGAGATTGTAATGGCATGATTTTCATTTCGTTATATTTTAATGATGGTTACGTAAACAATAATATTTACTGAGTGACCTACGAGTATTTTCATGAAAAACTTTCACCCACTAAAACAAAATGTATTATATTTGCGGGAAAATAACGTAGCGTATATAAACAAAATCTTTCGGATAATAAAATACTTTATTATACCCATGTTTTTATATTGGTCCAATGCTGGGGATTTAGAGACGTGACAAACCATGACAACGGAGTCGGTATATAGAATTGTTTTTCATCAGGCCAGTCGTAGGATACGAAATGACTAACCATAATGATGATATTACAGAAGAACTGGGAACATTAGACGAGAATACACCGATAGAAGATATGATAAATGAACAGAAAATTTAGGAAAGAATAATTGAAAACCAATTCCCGAAGCTGGTCTTTCGATACGAACCGAAAATATTTTAAGAAAGCCACGGACGTTCAACAAAACTTGATACTTTCAATACTTTTAACCTGAACAGGGCAAAAGTATAATCCGTGATGCTGTTAAGGACTGGTATCATCATTATAAACAGCTGCGAATTTATAAAACTCTGTCCCGTTTCGGACTAAACTTTAAATCCATTAAAAAGTCCTCCAAATGCCAAGTCCGGATGAGAATTTTTGATTTAATTTTGTAACCTAATCTTCCATTCAAGATAAATGTTGAAATCAGATACAGCCGTGGGAATTTAAGTCTACAATTTGATGTTTGAGTTCATGTGAAATTCTGCCGTCTCTTTCGTGATCAAGAAGATTGCGTTCTGCATTTCGCCTTAGAAATGTGATCTTTGAGCCTTGGAATCAACCTTCGGTTCCTTGTCTCACTATTGAAACATCACTGCCGTAAGAGAGCGACGGCGAAGTTAATGCTTTTTAAAATTTTTAATCTTGAACTTCGTCTAAGTTTCGCTTCTCGTTGTACTTCGTCACAGTCTCGATATTTTGTAACAATTACGTGAAAAGTGTATCTCTGTCAGTCTTGCGAGGGTGCGTTGGATTCATCACGAGGTGGGCGCGGACATAATTCAGAAATACTCCTGTTTTTTTCTTCTAAATAAAGTGGAGGAGACAAGTTAAATATATAAATAGGGGTTATCTCCGACGAAATGATCTTTATAGGGAATATCCTTTGTTGAACTACTGTTTAGTACATCAGGTTCAGGGTGATATCGTAACGTGGAAGTACCTCTTCTAATTTTACGACATTAGCTTGATCGTTATCCTAGTACGATCATATTTTAAACAGAATATAACCTTATGAGTTTTCTATATCAATGTCCTATGCTTTAACACCATACAATTAAGACGTATAGGAAATCGAAGATCAAGAATCACGTACACCGCGGTCAGCATAAAGTTCCTGCTGTTTTATCCACATTATCCACTATGCATATGTCTGGGTGGGCCTTAGGGCAAGTATTGACGAAACGAAATAAAACTAAAATATATTGTTGATGATTCTAGCTCGACATACAGCGATAATGAAGGTTTAAAGAAACTATTCCACGAAAAATGTGTATGCCTACCAACAATAAAAAAAAAAATAGAAGATATTTTTTGTTCCCATTTCAATTATGAAATGACGTCACGGACTTTGGTGCAATAATACTGTATTCAATCTTGTGTAAAAAGTAAAGTAAAGTTTGTACCACTATACGCCATGTAGGCGCTTGGGGGGAGTGGAGGTATAGCTCCTCTCTTCCTTGACCTCGGCACTAGATGGGGGT